GTTTGTGATGCATCCCACCACCGCTGTATCATCTGCAAACTTTAAAATGTGACAGCCTGGATGGGTAGCTGCACAATCATATGTGAGCAGAGTAAACAGAAGGGGGCTCAACACACATCCCTGAGGAGAGCCAGTGCTGAGGGTTATGGTGGAGGAGGAGAGGTTGTGGATCCTCACTAACTGTGGTCTGTTATTGGTAGAAGGATGTTAGAAATGCAGCTTACATGAAAAAGACAAAGAGGAGATATATGGATGCAATTAGAGAGGACACACTGAGATGGTTTGGACATGTCCAGAGGACAGAAAGTGGTTTGGACTTGTCCAGAGGACAGAAAGTGGTTTGGACATGTCCAGAGGAGGGACAGTGGGTATATTTGTAGAAGGATGTTAGAAATGCAGCTTCCATGAAAAAGACAGAGGAGACATATGGATGCCGTTAGAGAGGACATGGAGGTGGATGGAATGAGGACAGAGGACAGAGTGAGATGGAGGAGGACTCACTGTGGAGACCCTGAAGAGGGAAAAGCCAAAAGAAGAAGATATAAAAAAGCATATCAATGTAATGTAATTAGAAGAAACTAAATAAAAAACACAGGAAAAACATAAAAAACGAGACAAAAACATCTACATTGTAAAGCAATATAAAATACTAATGTAACTCAGACAAATATGTTAGTGCATTGATTAAATTCATAAAATATGTTACGGTTTAAAGAAAATTAAACTAACTTTAAGTTAAATAGGTTATAAATATAGCTAAAATTGTATTTCATTTATGTTGTAAAAGGCTTAAAAACTACTCAAAACACATAAGTTTAAAATGAGTGAAGTAAAACATTTTGTTGATGTATTTTATTTGCGCTTTATTGTGAAAAGCTACAGGAAGTGTGAGCAGTCAGGGTCGAGCTTGATGAGAGAAACCAGACACACCAGAGTGAACAGGTGCTGCAGCTTGGACTGATCATGGGTAATGGACACCTGTTTAATGGTGTTTGGACAACCTGTGGACATTTTCAGCTCCAAGTTTGTTCTGCAGTTTTATGAGTTTTTGCTCTTGGAGGCAGTTTAGCATTGAACAGTTAGCATTCGCTAGCTAAGTGAATGCTGCAGGGAACCTAGTTCAGTTTACTAAGAAGACTGCCTCTTCATCGTTCTGACCTGGATGTGAAGACTAGTCCCAACTGGAGTGTTTATGGACTGCAGAAGAGTGCCTTTGGATTATATATTTCTTCTTGTTCTACTCCTGGACATTGCTCATTGGAGTTAAACCTGGACCAGCAGATGGATGATTGCACCACCATCTTATGACGTGGTTTGGTTTTTCCTCTTCACCTGAACTGGGACCAGAGTCTGTGTGTACTGAACTACTAAAGCAGGTACTGCTGTGTTTGATTTATTTGCTCAAAGAGTGTTGGCACCGCCTCTGGAACCAGGAACCTGCAGAAAGAACTGGAAACCCTGCACTAATCAACCTCAGCCAACACAAGAATGGCTGCACAGTGACTTGTACAGAAACTCATGGTAAAACTTGATGGTAGTAGCTGACAGTCATTCACAACAGGGATGACCAATTTTGGATTTTTGGCCGATATGTTAAAACTTGTTTGGCCAATAACTGATACAGATTTTTAATATTCTTTCCTTTGTCAGAACATATTCCTCTTATTTAGGCCTATTTGTTACAAAAACTGTGCAACCGCTGTAAGAGCTGGTGACATATATTCAGTAACAGCATAGCACTTTAACTTATATTAAATGAAAAGTGTTAAATGTTATTTAT